AAAAGGGAAACGTTTCAACATTTCCTGATAACAGACAACAATAAAGACTTTTTGGCTAATCAGCCCTTCAGTTCGTTCTTAAGGAATACCCCCCCCTTCATCGAGAACAGATCTACACCCAATTCCCCTTTTTGCTAGGTTCTAAGCTCAAAGCACAAAAGGCCATTAGCGATATAAAGTTTTCTATGAGAGAAATGTCACTCTATCCTGCTACGGACATTGTCAAGTGTCGTGTAGTCAGTGACGATGAAATAAAAATTACAACAGCGAGATTTACATCTCCAATCAATGCCATAGTAAAATATATTCCAATCTATTTATGATTTGGTGACTATATAAACGAAAATATGACTGTTATTACTAACTATGATATACCGAGATGACTTAATGAAGTCGAGAATATCCCCACTCTTTCAATACCCTATTAATTTTTATATTATCACAAAATTTCTAAGCATACGAAAAAAAGCTTTTCTTTTCTGTTATTGACAAAGCCTACAGAATACATACACTTTATTAATAGCTTATTATTTAATGTTAAATAAATTAGTTCATGCAATGCATCTTAGTAAAAAATAGGAAAGAATCTAGATAATTATTATGATTACTTAGGGTCTGTTTATTTATCAGCTTGTATGTGACATTTACACATGATTTTATAAACAATGGATGAAAAAATATGCATTTTTTTATTCAAAGCATGCCAGTATATTCCTTCCTTATTCTACTAATGAATATGACAGTCACGTTATCATATAAAGTGAAGTATCGATTCAAATGGAAAACACAAATATCTGCAATAAGATTATTATTATTATTATTATGATACAAGGAAGAGAAAAAGAAAACATTCATCTAAATACAATTATTAATAAAAGAGATGGATAGTGGCTAACAGTGGAATCCAGGAAGTGTGTTTCATTGTATTTTGGACCAGTTGATTGGATGGACGTGAATATTGGAGTTCACGTTGATTCTGATCAATTGCAGTCCTCAACATCAATGCGAAGATTCAGACAACCAATACAAACTTATAGATTATTTATTATTATTATTATTATTTTCATAGTAGAAAATCATTAACAATTGGGTAGCTGTAGTGGGAACTGTGAAATGAGCAACTTTCGGTAATCGCCTATGCTACTAATAATCATGTGTTTCATTATGATAAGCTTGAAAAAAACTTCCTAAATTTCTATTACACCCTTTGGACTAAATTATGACAAGTTGGAACAGTTACGGGCGAATACAATGGATGAGTTACGTGTAATATTGATTGCATTCATTTCAATAATCTGAATATGATGCATTCACCAAAATGCCTGATGACCAATGGATCGATAGTATTACGTCGTAGGTTTACAGTTCATTCTAAGATGAAACGATTGCTCAGTGTGCACTGAGTTTCCATAATTAATCTAACCTGCAAACTAAAAAATAAATTTACAAACTTCAATAAATATTCATTTTAAGAAGTTTGTTTTGATAGGGGATATGGGACACACGTTGAGTAAGCCTGTACTCAGTCTGTAGTAAAAATCGCAATCATACAATTCACAATAAAACTATATTGGCAAAATAAGACTTTTGCATGAATACGTACCTGTGAAATCTGCTTTGTAGAAAAGCATTTTTTACTGTGAATGCTGTTCTACTTTCCCAGATGAATAAATAAGTATCTTTCCATGTATGTGTAAAATGTGAACACGCTCAAACTTAATGCTTAACAAAATTATGTTTTGTTGAAAAAAAGACATGTTACTTTATAACAAATCGTTTATTTAATTGCGAACCCTGAACTAGTGTTAACACAGCTTTTATTTAGTAACTATAAGCAGTCATTAGCATTGCAACAAAAGTAAGCGTAAAAAACGGACAGATTTAGGCCTGTCTAACCATTTGATTTCACTTGTCAGACTTTAAATTAAACGAAGTCAAATAGTGTTGAACAATGTAATCACTGTAAGAGGACGCAACCCGATAGTGTTTGGAATATGTGTTGATACTATTCTGGAAAAAAAACTAACTTGAGGATAAACATTGTTGTATTCTGTTTATGGAGAAGAACATGCTCACCCATTCAAACACACACAAAAGTTGTTAAATAGTACAGTCCCAAGAACAAAAAGAAGGCTTGTATGATAGGGAACTTATGCTTCTAAGATCATCAGCACACCCTTCAAAACAGAAAAGGGAAAGATTACAGTGAGTGCCATCTAGCTCTATAAACCCACTAATGACGGTAGGAAAAGTGATCAGTACCCCTTTATCGGAGTCTGAAGTACACATTACAGAAGACCAGAATAAACATAAACTTAAAAAAAATTCATAAGGTCTGATGAAGAATAATAACAAATGAAGAAGATCTGATGTAGCTTAACATCATCACCTGGTGGTGGATAAGCTAAAAATGTTGATAAAAAAGCATTACACAATTGAAGATAAAGTTCACATCAAAAGGCCAGCAAACTGAAGAATAATGTCCGCAGCAAGTTACAAGTGTTACAAGATATACTAAAACAGGAGAGTGTCAAAACAGAGAGGCAACTGAGAAAGCATTTTAGGCCCAGTAACTTGAATATGTCAGGATATTTTGGCGTCCAGCAAGCACCAGAATAAAGAATGAACACTTGTCGAGAACCTGAACTGAATCAAATGAAGGGAAAATAAGACGTTAGCAGCCAACAACAGTGGAACAAAGTAGATGAAGCGACGTCATAGGCTGAATGTACTGAACCAAACAAACGAGTAAAAAAGCAGTAGATCGAACAAATGAAAATGTGTAGAAGACCTAGTAATCAGAGAAGAAAAATGTGCAAGAAAAGGCTATACAAAAGAGATATGTGGTACAATGAAGAAAATAACACGAAAATACGGTAAAGCAAAACATTCCGTTGGGGACATAGAAGGCGATTCAGTTACTAGGGTTTAAGAGCAAAGCAAAAGATTAGTAGATTACTTTTAAATAATAAATAATATACCAGCGTCTTTGGGCAAACTCAACAATGAAGAAGTAAACATAGACCTCTGTATATATTCTACCCCAAAAACATAAACGAAATCAAAGTCTTTGTTCAGGGGTCATTGAAAATAACCTACACTGATAGAAAATAGAAAAGGTGCCAGCTGAGAAGGAAATTAAGGGAAGATACTGGAGGTGGTGAAGCTTTCACTTTCCGAAACCCATCAAACTGTGTAAAAAGACAAAGCGCGATAAGATAAAAGGTAAATAGTAAGATCAGTCATTACATGCAATCCAAGGTCGAATTTCATCATCAAGGAAAGAAATGGCACTCTGAAACGGCTGCAAAGGAAATACTAGAACAGAGTTGCTCAGAGAACCTTGTTCAGTAGTCTGCGCCTCTTGAAAAGTTGGAGACTGAATTTATTGACGCACTGAATTTCCTCAGCATATTTAACGTTAAACACAAAGTCAGATGATTTGCCAATTTTATTTAGAATGCACCTAAACTTGCAAACATGACGGACACGGTGGGTGCGCCCTACTGAAGAGACTTATGCTGAGACGAAACATCCGTTCAGAGCTTTAAGTTTTTTAATTTTTGTACAACATTGAGATTTTTAGGATTTTAATGAGTCTCAATAATCTTCTCAACCCAATATTGTTTTTTAACTTAAGCTGGATAATGATAAGAAGTGGAACCTAAGAGGATGTTTCCTCCAGTATGGAACTTAAAAATCACATGTTTGTGAGCTCACAGTGATGTCCTTCTTGGGACTTAAACCAACCGGCTTTCACTCAAAGTGTTCTTTTTGTAAGGCCACTGAGTTCAATTAGACACAAGCCGGTGAAACGTGGATAAATTGTATTTTTTATTTGTAAATATATGTAAGCTACTATATAACATCACTTGATAATCTGTGAATTTATACACAAACCTCCAAAACTCTGCCCCAAAATCTGTAAATTAATGGTAATAACGAAGCGATTCACAATCGTTGTACATATACCATAAAAAAGAAAAATCTGATCAAAATTCAGATTTTGATTATCAATAAAACGGTAAATTAAAGTAAAATAGAAAAAAAAAACTTCTAAAGTCACTATAATATAAAATTGTTTGTTATCCAATGAGTTATCGGTGTTATCATTTATATCAAAAAAATTAAAATTTTTATATGTCGATTACAATGTCTTTTATATGGTAATTAGCGTATCGTTGAGATGCTTCCTTTTGAAAACAAGCAATACTTGCAGGTTTGGACGATAGACACGAACTAAGTGAAGCTGATAGTGTAGACCTTTGAACCATGTGTGATACACTTAAAGCATAACTTAAAGATCAATGATACAATTTCTTAGAAGTAAGTTTACACAGCTATACATGATGAATTTAAAACAAAATAAGCGTTCAGTGTCAACTGGTTTTAAAAATATGTCTATCTTAAATTAATTGGATCTCATTTAATTATTTGTTAGAATAAGTATCCTTTTAAAATGAGTTCAAGTGCTTTTTAGCACTGCTTCATTCTACCTGGTGCATTGTGTATACTCTTCATTTCTGGATCGTGCGTACTCACAAACGTGTTCACTTTGAGGCTTAGAGAATTTCATCAGACTAATCTGGCAGGTGAATAATTCCTTTATATTTGTGAATGAAACGATGAAAGCTATGAAAGGCTCATAGGTCATATAATTTAGCTAGGAGAATGCTTTGAGTATAAACTAGATGAAGAAGATGAATTACAGTATTATTACCAGCAACAGAGGTTATTTCATCAGCAGGAATCTGGATGGTAACAGACATGGCTGGAACGTTCTGTCTATCAGACGATCTATAAAGCAGTACTTGTAGCTTTGCAACAGAATATGGAATGCCGTATAAACCCATCTACTAATGAATTTGACTGGCACAAATAGAGACGTCCCTATGGGAACTGTTAATTCATCGTAGTTAATTGCTGATGAAATTTATCAGATGTGGCTCTCAAGAACAAATCTATCTGTTCGTTACTCGCAACCAAGTAATATGAAAATAATGACTTATATAGCTTCACTTTTGACGGATGAACAACTCATGGCTTATGTTCTCAATATGCGGGATATAATTCATAAAACTAGATCACTATCGAGAGACCTGAAATATATTCCTGAAGCTGCGGTTGCACCACAGACAACTGCCGATACACCAGAAGAAGACGAGAAGCCAGGTCATGAAGATCCGCACGACCAACATCATGACAACTCTTTAATAACCGTTCACATAGATGCTACGGTAGTCTCTTCCGAAGAAGAAGATGCTATTTCAATAAATTCAGAGGAACTTAATGAATTTTATAACAACTTGAACAAAGATACTGACACCTATGGATTACGCGTTGTATGTCAGCATGCAGGGCCACCGAATACGAACTCAAAACAAACAATCTTCAAAATTTTCCGGTAAAATGCGATTTTTCAAGCTTTTCAGAGGACGGAACCCTCACTCTCAATACCCCAATGCTGAACGTCCAACATAAGAAGGTATCACAGAGCATCCAAAAGGGTAAACATATATAACAGTGCTAACTAACTAACAGTTTACTAGGACACTATAATGAATCTGTCCCGGAAATGCCTGAAGACTAATCACAATATAATTTTCAGACTTCTATCATTCAAACAAAACAAATATTTTCTGTTGTCATATCTGTATTTGCATAAAAATTCACCTTTCTAAATAAATTTACTTCGTTTTATCTGCAGACAGTAAAGCTTAGATACAATTAGCAGTAGATGAAAAATATTTATATTGTAAGTGACGGAGTTGGAATGTTCACTAAATATCCTCGGAGTTATACAGGGAAAATGATTTTTATTTTTATCGGGTTATATATATATGTATCGAAATGTTCTCGTTAAGGGTAGATAAGTTGACATGTTTGAAACTATTCTGTGTCTGGTTGCAGGTTCACGTAACTCACAAAAAAGTTATATATACATACTATCTAAGTAATGGTTAGCGTAGTTCTTGTAAACAAAAATAATATGACTGTTTTCTATAGCAGTTACAATACTATTCAAATGATAGGACAAACGTATCCCTTAAGTGCATATTTTTTTAAGTCACATTAAGTCAAAAGACAAAATTATTTTAATTAAGTTTCCATTTACTTTCTGTATCTCTTTGAAATTTTCACTATTCATTACTCTTAACTCAACCAACAAAATTCTTATTTTGACGTGTTAGGTCAGTTTGTTTTGAAATGAAATGAAAAATATTTATACTGTGATGAATACTTCTCAATGATTTATTCACTCTCTTACGGTTTGTCTTAGTTACCTATCAGTTGAAATTACTATATACGGTAGCTGTATTATAATGGGATTCGTGTATCTGAATTCCCTTCATGAACTTTAGATTGTAGATGGCTGCCATTATTCTCATGATATTTACTATATTATAATGGCATGTTAGTTACTGAATTGAGTTCACTGTGAAAGTTCATTACATGAAATTAAATTCGCATTATTATTTTGTAGAGTTCAGACTTTTATAAAATTTTAAATTTCCATAAACAAATTTAACTTGGCATAAGTGAATAAAATTTTCTAAAATTGATTTTCAAATCATTAAAATCATAAAAATTCTCTATACATTTATTGGGGACGTTAAATCCCCAGAACTCACTTGGAATTTTTTGTGTTTGGATTTCGGGTGCTTTCGCGCATAAGTTGCTTGCTTGACCTTCAGCTTACATTTCCCACTGGGAAAATCCTTGACTGTCATTGGTTCAGGAAATATTTTCGTAAGCTATTTTTTCGGCTCTCCTAAGGACTTTCCTATCATGTACAAATCAGCTCGGCTTGTGTGCTTATTGACCTCGTATTTTCTGGGTACTTTTAGAATACACTTTCTACGTCTTATCAAGACTTCTTGATATAGTTAGCCTGGCGGGGGACAAACGGATTAGAATAACGTATCGTCTCACTGAATCGTTTGTCTTCGCTCCGTTTACAGAGTAAAGTGAACTCGTAATAGCATTCAAACACATCGAATGACGAGCATATCACCAATCAAAACTAAATAATTCCCATGGAATTCAACTAATCAGTTAGATAATGGGACAAAATGAGAAAATTTTATTGACATTTAAACCAATGATCGATTCATTATTTCACTGACTCTATAATAAAAAAATTTAAACTAATCACTATTTCGTTAATATTCATCGTCATACTCTATTCCAGTTATCCATAGGGTCACTAAAAAAACAGCAGTCGGTTTTTTAATACAAGAGAAAATCGTTCTAATGAAATTTTATCTTAAATCAGACTATACATCAGCCACTGTAGATTTATTCACAATAAAACTATTTTTGTTCAAATTTTGTCCGGTCTTATTAGTGTCAATTCTGTCGATTCATTATTCATATTCTGTCAAAAATAATTACAATCCCAATTGATTTTTTTCGTTAGTTAATTTGTGACTAAATATTATTAGAGTCTGACGCTTATGATCGTTCCTTGATAACATTTACTGCAAAAAGTGTAATTATTTTTGTTATAGACTAGCGTGATTCTATATGATGTACAGAATATATAAACATTTAGATAATACTATGTAAAAATTGAATTTAATCAGAAATACGTGACATATATTATCATTGTCCATAAAGGTCACATTAAATAGACTAGATTATCATCAGATCACACTAAATATTCAATCAATATTACCAGAGTAGGTTTATTATTATTATTATTATTATTATTATTATTATTATTATTATTATTATTACCATTAATACAGACTGTCTTAATATCTGAGATCTCAATTAATTTTATTTTAACCATCTTAGTCAACTTTTATACAAAAATTACAAAGCCTGAGTAAAACTTGATCTTACAATCTGTTGTAACCATGTGCTAAGCAATGGAAGTTAGTTAACCACCTGAACTTGTAGATTCCGATTACTGATTTATATATTATATTGTTCTTAAAAGTATTCTATCACTTTTCATCCATAGTCATGTGCGCTTTATTCAATAAACAAATCAATCTGCTTTGGTTGTAATAATTAGGAAACGGGAAATTTTCTTCTTAGAACATTGTTGTCGAACATTGTTATGACTTACAAGCCGCTCGTGAATATCACGTGATAAAACCACCAATCAGAATATCGATTTGTCTCACCCTAACCTTGTGATGCGCAACGACAAACCAACAAAAACTAGCGGTCTTGAGTCAGCACTAAGTTCTTATTGGACCCTTACTCAATAGATTCTTCCTGTGACCTGTTCTACCTGTCGAGTTGAGAACACAAGTAATGTACTTCAAGTGTACATAGTTTAAATAGAGACAAACTCAATTGCATCAAGCCATGAATGTGTCAGAGTGACTGTGAATAGGGTAGGTTGTAAATAGGAGTGATAAATAGTATCATAATAGTTTATGTAAACCTGATAATCTAGTTACTCAATAATAACGATATAATAAGACAGTATACAATCATAATCCATAAACCGGCTCTCCAATTTACCATGACTTCAATCTTTGTTCGGATGCGACAAACATACTTTAGTCTTGGAATCGTACGTGAATGTTTACAATGTGACAAAAAGTATTCTGGTAATAGCAAGGATAAAAAAAGTATAAATAAAGCTAGTTAAACTCGATGTGCATTTATATTTTGACAGCAATAATGGTGAGATAGGTGTTCAGGAACAGTTGAAAGGAGAAGCTAGCGAAACTACATTGATACTGAACTTATTTCCCCACATAACACAATGTGTCCTCTAAACCATTCAAATACAGATTACTAGTCGTCCAACTTCGTCTCCTCTTACATGTATGAATTCACACGTACTTGCGATAGAAGTTAGATGGGAATGATAAACTGGAAGGTTGCCACTAATTTTTTTTGAACATGTTCATAGAAAACAGTCTGAATGGAAGTAAAATCTTCATGATTGAAATCACCAAGAACATTCTCACTAGTAAGTATCAAATGAATATAAATAATACATTGAAAATAATAAATGGACGGAAAACATCGATTTGAATCTCTTTTGTATAAACGATTGATAGTACCTGTTCCCAACTTGGTCTGTATATAAAGAAAGAAAGTCTGGGTGTAGGCAGTAACTAACGAAGACAAATGGGTGAAGTCCAATGGTTAGGCACTCGCGCACAATACTGAAGGTGCCGGGTTCGAACCCTGCTAGGAGCAGGAGTCGTGGACGCGCACTGCCGATGAGTCCCATACCAGGACGAAACGGCCGTCCAGTGCATCTGGCTTTCTAAGGGTGCTCTAACAATGATTGATGATTTCAAATGTGTAAAATGTCTGATTAACCTGAGTCAGTCATTGTAACTGACTGTCAACTAAGTAACGTTTATTAATTTTTCAGTCTTGCATAATCTTTCTAATATTCAGATATTAGTTAGATTTAACTTTTTACCATGTTGAATGATCAAGCAGTCAGTTGCCAATCGTACTTTTTGGATAGAACCTTTTTTATGATGACTACACTTACCAGTAACTATAACATCATTGATTCAGTTATGCATCACTACTTCCTAACACTAATCTTAACTACGTTTATTCATACATTTCTGGATTCTACTCTTCTACTTCTCCTTATTAGTCTTCTCTGAATGATTTTTCTAGTCTCATTACAAACATTCATTTAAACTTCACCGACTAAGGTATCTTCAACACATGTGATGAGAGGCCGTGAAATAGAATGGTGAATTCAATCGATTCCTTGATCCTCCATTGCAATTATTTTAATTGTATCGGACATATATGATTGTTACCGTATTACAAAAATAAGCTTAAACAGTTTTTGAAAAATATCTTTTTCATATATGATGTTGAAATAATTTCAGAACAGGTTCGTTCAAGTTTAAGAAACAAAACATTCCTATAGAAAAGCAATTTTGAAATTGGATATTGCATCACAAGTTGAATAATAAATTGAGAAGTACTACATTTGATTCAATTTAGGTGAAGACTATCATATCACGAAAAACTCCCATGTTGTTGGGGATGTTAGATCCCCAGAAATCGCTTGATAGATGCCTTATTTCGGATTTCACGTTTGCGAGCATGGGCTGATCAGTGGACCTTGAAATTTCATTTCCCACCAGGAAAATCCTTGCCTGTGATTGGCTGCTGTGTGTTTTAGTGACTTTCCGAAAGACGTTTCTATGATGTATAAATAAACGAGATTTGTGTGCTTGATTGCATTGATCTTGCTGGATGTTTGTAGAATATACATTCTTCGCTTATCAAGACTTCACTTTTGCAGTTTGGGGATCAAGGTAGCCTGGATGCCAGTTCATTGTTTCGTTCTCGTTTATCGACTAAGTTGAGCCCGTAATAGTCTCAAGCGTACCTAGTGATGAACATAACAAAGGTGTTCAAACAATGATAATAAAGTAGTAGTGTAAACAGCAGCTAT